TGAGCCACTGGGCCCAGCCCTCTGTATTTTTCATATGTCAAAAGTAGAAGGATTTTATGAGTTTAGTCAGTTCAGTGATTGATAAGCCAGCCAGCAGAACATTTGGGCTGTAGTGGCACATTTTAAATTGAAGACCAGGGTCACAAGTTGTAAGGGTGTCTATTCTTCACACACAGTAGACCTGAAATTGGTTTTTTCTTGATGTTATTTTTTCTCGCTGTAGGTACAGAATGAGCACATGTTGTTGGTGTACACCAGGTGGTGTTTCCACCACTGACTTCCTAAAGCACTATGCGTCCAACACTCGATCCAGCGAATTTCAAACAGCCAATGAAGACCTCTGCTACTGTTTAGAGTGTGTAGCTGAATACCACAAAGCAAGAGATGAATTGCCATACTTGCATGAGGTAATTTATATTAGATGGACAATATTTTTCAGAGCTTGATAGCTAGAACAGAGTAAGTTTGGACACTGTTGGGAAGTATTCAGAAAAATGATGATATGATTTCAACTTTGTGGAGTTTTTTTGTTTTTGTTTTTTTGTTGTTGTTGTTAGAGATGGAGTCTTGCTCTGTCACTCAGGCTGGAGTGCAGTGGTGTGATTATACTTATATCATTTTACACATTTGAGTATATTCTTAGGACAAATTCCTGAAAGCGGAAGTGCTGTCTCATGATTTTCCATGGGCCACATGGGTTTTCATAGTTTGTTTTGCTATGTTTTGGAGACAAGGTCTTTGCCCTGTTGCCCAGGCTGGAAGTGCAGTGGTGTGATCACGGTTCACTGCAGTCTCAACCTTCTGGGCTCAAGCCATCCTCCCACCTCATCCTCATGAGTAGCTGGGACCATGGGTGTGTGCCAGTATGCTCAGCTAATTAAAAAAAATTTTTTTTTGTAGAGACAAGGTCTTCTATTTTGCCCAGGCTGGTCCTGAACTCCTAAGCTCAAGTGATCCTTGCACCTTGGCCCCCTAGTGTTGGAATTATAGGCATGAGCCACTGTGCCTGGCCAACTTTGAAGGCTAACTCATTGTCTGGTATATAGTATGTACTGAGTAAATGTTTAGCACTGATGGAATTGAAACCTGGAACAGAATTTTATGATCTGTCACTTTTAGTCACTTTGGTATAAAATAATTTTATGAAATAGAGTTATTGGGAGGGGATTTGTTTCTTAATTTTTTGGTCAGTGCTGTAATACATGCATGTATCTGAATGTCTTGGGTTTTTGTTCCCCCCGCCCCGGCCACCCCTCAGGGTTTTTTTTAATTGGAAACAATAAATTCTTTTTTTAATGGGCAAACGGCATAAACCTTTAAGGGGAAGTATATTTTCCAGTCATAATAACCAACGTGAAAGATATAATTCTAAATATGTAGCTTTGAATATTTGGTTTGTTTATTTGATGAAAAACAGAGCGTAGGCCATAGGGATACATACGGTATATAGAGGAGAGGATGGGTAGTTATGGATTGGTGTTGAGAAACTTGCATTTTATAAAGTTTTCTAATAATGAAGCTATTCAGCATATTTATACTATATGCTGGGCTAAGGTAGTTAGCTATGGCTGGAATGTAGAAGGGAAGACATAGAAGGGCCTCAGTTTTGCTTTTTTTTTTTTTTTTTTAATATAGTTGATAGTGATGTGAGATGTGTAGAAAAATTCTACAAGAGAAGTGTTTAAACATCTCATACTATTTTTTTGTTTTCTTTTTCTCTTAGAGACAGTGTCACTATGTCATCTAGGCTGGAGTACAGTGGCACAGTCATAGCTCACTATAGCCTCAGATTCTTGGGCTCAAGTGACTCTCCTGCCTCAGCCTTCAGAGCAGCTAGGACTATAGGCATGCAGCATGCCCAGCTAATTTTTCTATATTTGGTGGCAACAAGGTCTTGCTTTACTTCCCAAGCTGATCTCAAACTCCTCACCTAAAACAGTTCTACCTCAGCGTCCCAAAATGCTAGGATTACCTGTAAAGGTGTGAGCCACTGTGCCTGGCCAGCACCTCATACTGTGTGTACTCATTTTTCATAAAAGCGGCCACGTTTTAAATAGTTTTCTTTAAAATATGATCTCTAATACTTTACATTTCAGAATTGTTGAACTTAGGAAAAGGCTTTCTAGGTCATCACGTTCAGTGCATTTTATTGATAATAAGACATAACACACACTGCCCATTTTATTTTTCTCTAGGTTTTATGGGAGTTAGAAACCTTACGTCTCATAAATCACTTTGAAAAATCCATGAAGGCAGAAATTGGAGATGATGATGAATTATATATAGTAGACAACAATGGGGAGATGCCACTGTTTGACATTACTGGACAAGACTTTGAAAATAAGCTTCGAGTTCCTCTTCTTGAAATACTGAAATATCCTTACTTGCTTCTACATGAACGTGTTAGTGAGTATCTTGGTGGTTCCTCAAGTTATATTAGTTATTTGATATTATTATAATATTTTAATATTATAAGAATTTAGGCTTATCTGTATTGCAAATTTGTTTGCTAAACATATATTTAGGATATATAATTAGGACTTCTTTTTTTTTCCTCAACATTTTTGTTTTTTTGAGTTCAAACACAAAATACCTATTTTTAGGGGCACAGTTCAAACTTACCTTGTTCAGGGGACAACTGAAGATTGTTTTTGTGTTTTTTATAGACAGGATCTTGCTCTGTCACCTTGGCTGGAGTGCAGTGGTACAGTCATGGCTTGTTGCAGCCTCTGCCTCCTGGGCTCAGGTAATACTGATGCCTGAGCCTTCTGGGTAGCTGGGACTACAGGTGCGTGCCATTGCGCCCAGCTAGTTTTGTGTTGTATTTTTTTGTAGAGATGAGGTTTCACTATGTTGCACTGCCCAGGCAGGTGTCAAACTCCTGGGCTCAAGCAGTCCTCCCACCTCAGCTTCCCAAATTATTGGGATTCCAAGCACGAGCTACTATTCCTGGCTCCCAACATTTTATTGTGAAAGTTTTTAAACATAGAAAAAGTAAACTATCGAGTGAACACCATATATCCATCACATAGATTGTACAGATGTTTTTGCTGTATTTGCGTTATCATGTATCTGTTAATCTATTCATTCAATTATTGATCATTTTCATTATTGTCGGGCAGGGTGGCTCACGCCTGTAATCCCAGCACTTTGGGAGACTGAGGCAGGCAGATTACCTGAGGTCAAGAGTTGGAGATCAGCCTGGCCAACATAGTGAAACCTATCTCTACTAAAAATACAAAAATTAGCCGAGCATGGTGATGGGCACCTGTAATCCCAGCTACTCAGGAGGCTGAGGCAGGAGAATTGCTTGAACCTGGGAGGCGGAGGTTGCAGAAAGCCAAGATTGTGCCATTGCACTCCAGCCTGGGTGATAGATTGATACTCTGTCTCAAAAAAGTAAAATAATAATTTTTATTCTTGTAGTATATCTGTGGCGGAGTTTTCAGGCTTTGCACTGGTGCCATTTTGGATAGTCCTTTGCTGTGTGGGACTGTGCCATCTATTGTAGGGTGTGTAGCAGCATCCCTGGCCTCTGTCTACTAAATGGCAGTAGCGCTCCCTCTCTCCTTTGTGACAACCAAAAATGTGTCCAGACATTACTGAATATCCCTTTTGGGGGATGGTGAGGTCTAAAATCACCCCTGGTTGAGAGACGCTTATCTAGTAATTTTCACTAATCACCATGGCATGGCTTATTATAGCTGTTTAGATTTTGGCTGTTTACATTTGCATTTCATAATATGAATCTCTTGAAAGTAAAGGCATTTCCCTAGCCTATCAAATCTAACAATATATATATTTTTAAAGTCTCACTGTTGCCCAGGCTGGAGGGCAGTGGCATGATCTTGGCTCACTGCAACCTCCGCCTCCCGGGTTTAAGCAATTCTCCTGCCTCAGCCTCCCGAGTAGCTGGGATTACAGGCACGCACCACCACACCTGCTAATTTTTTTGTATTTTTAGTAGACACAGGGTTTTGCCATGTTGGCCAGGCTGGTCTCAAGCTCCTGACCTCAAGCGATTCACCCACCTCAGCCTCCTAAAGTGCTGGGATTACAGGCATGAGCCACTGTGCCCCGCTCAAAATAACAATGCAAAAATGTGGTTCATTTTCATATTTTCCCAATAGTGGCGAATGTGTTTTTGGCTGATTTGCTGAACTTAGAATCTAGTCAGGGACCATACATTGCATTTGGTTCATAGTTCTTACAGCTCTTTTAATTCAAAACAGTCTTCTCAGCCTGGGCAGCATAGCAACACCCTCCCTCCCCCATCTTTACAAAAAATAAAAATTAGCTGGACATGGTGGCATGTGCCTGTATTCCTAGGTAGGTACTCGGGAGGCTGAGGTGGGAGGATCGCTCTAGCCTAGGAGGTTGTGCCTGTAATGAGTCATGGTCATAATTCTGTCCTTCATCCTGGGCAACAGTGCAAGACCCTGTCTCTAAAAAACCAAAAAATAGTCTTCAGTTGACCCTTGAACTGTGCAGATCCAGTCATACATGGATCTTTTTTCAACCAAAATTGAATCAAAAATACAGTATTCATGGGTTGTAAAACCCACTTCTATGGAGGGTTGACTTTTTGTGTATGCTGGTTCCTCAGGGCCAACTACAGGACTCAGCTATGTGTGGATTTTGGTATACATGGGTACCCTGGAACCACAGCCATGCATGTACCAACTGTATTTGTAGGGAAACCAACATGTACCCTTATCTTTTTTTTTTTGCCACAAGTTTGACTTTTTGAGGAGGGCATATATTTGCTCTGTAGAATAACAAACTTCATGGATTTTTCTGGTTTCTTTCCTGTGCTGTTATTTAACTTGTGTTTCTCCATTTAGCATATTTTCAGTAAACTGAAAAGATCTAAAGACATGATTAGACAAGTCAATTTTGTCTAAATCAATAAATTCAGAGTAACTAGATTGGAAAATTCTGAGACATTTTCAAGTATTTATTAAAGAATAATCTATCCATAAAAGTATATAAGCTTGCCGGGTGCGGTGGCTCAAGCCTGTAATCCCAGCACTTTGGGAGGCTGAGGCGGGTGGATCACGAGGTCAAGAGATCGAGACCAT